TTGTGTTTCTCCTTAGTTCATGTCTGACCTTCTTTTCTGTGTATCTTTGCTGATTTGACTTTTTATCATTTGTTTCAGTTTTTTTCTCTTCATATGTTTATGTTTGTGATAAATTTCATTTTAACTATAGTTCAGAAAGCCCTCAACAATTTTACTTTAGTGCAAATGAAACAAAAAAACAACCCAGTGTTCCTACACTCACAAAAACTTTGAGTCTTTCATTTGGAAGCCCTGAGGTGCACAACACAGCCTCCTCACTTACCCCTACATCTGAACTACAACTGAGCTTTAATGTTCACTCACAGTGACCGCTGTGTTTTATAAATCATCCAGCAGGTGGCAGCACAGGAGCTTCCAGCATCACATGATGTTGGAAATGTCTCAGGAGGTCTAGATTAAAGGCTTGGTGACAATGGAGTGTTAAAAGCTGTGCTGTTGTTGTTAATACTTGAGGTCACATGAGGCTGGTGCTTTCATCGTCTTAATCACAGAAGAAAAAAAATACTGAGGTTTCAGAAAAGCTGCCAGCTGGTCCATTTGGGAGCAAGATGTTGGGATGAATTTGTCTGTTTACAGTTTTCTACAAACCAAAAGAGCAGCAATCACAACAATGAGTACAAGAAGTAAAAAGCCAGGAGCTCCCAGCCCAGCTCAGACATTCCTGTCGGTCAGTGCTCTGCTTTTATTAAACACACCTAAAGAAAATCAAAATTGATTTTAATCATGTTAGAAATCCAAAAATCTTGCCAATGCCCTGAGACTTTGCTGGCAGTTTTTACCAAAAGTCCAAACCAATTCTTGTTGTTCAGATTCTTGTTACCAAACCAAGCAGCAATACAGAAATAAATAATAGGTTCAATAAAACTTCTGAAAAACAAGGACAACGTGTCAGATGATACATTAAAAGATCTCATTTTCCTTAAAAAGAACAGTATTTGGTGAACTTCTTTGTTAGTGGCATCAACATGAGGCTCAAAACACAGTTCAGCAGCAAAGCTTCTGTTAATCCATCAGAGCCACACACACAGTGATCTTTATCTCATTAAAATGTTCATAATGACTGAAACCAGACAGGAAGTGTTGGGAGCTTCCCACCCGGCTGTTAGACTGCTATGTTGCAGCAAAACAGTGAAACAGTTTGACTTTCTTTGTCTCTCTTGAATTTTGTTAATGAACAACAACTTATTAATAAATGAAATCATGTGGATCCAAAACAGCCTCAGTGTAACTCATTTTGTGTGTTTGCTCTTAGTTTATCTATACAGTAGCAACACACTGAGGAGACTGTGCACATTTCACATGAGAGCAGGAACTTGGCACTAACATATGTACAGAGCCGGTTCTGACCGGTCAGAGAGCTGATTTGATATCTATTCTGCTCCTGTTAAATTAATGATGTAGCTTCTTTTATCAGCAGTAGTTTTTCCCTTTTCTTTTAAGAAGAACCATCTGTTTCCCGCTTGGCTGAACTAAATTATTTCATTTTATGCATCATGACAATAAATACTTTTATGAAATTAAACAGAACAAGACATGCAACAACTGGCACATTATTTCAAATCTCAGGCCTGAGCTGTGGTTAAAATGCCACAAAACAAAAACATCCCTCCTTTGTCTTTGATTAATCATTTTTCCTTGACTTTGAAGAAAAGTTGTTTGGTTTTTTTTCTTAGCGGGCTGCTTCATAAAGTGGTGGTGGATGTTTTTTATGAGGTTTAACCAGGATGAAACTTCCTGAAGTTGAACTACTCATAATTCACTGATACACAAACTGTGCTGTTTCTTGCACATCATATAAACATGTACCTATAATGTCTCTATAGAGGCTAAAAGAATACACACTTGTGTTTTCCTCTCCCTGCTGATCCACTTTATCCTTTCCTATTTTAAAGCTTCAGGTATCTCTAAAGTCAAATGAGTGAATAATTAATCAACCGCACCCTATATTAGACTTTGTCAATATGGCGTAGTAGTAGTGTAGTGTAGATTCAAAGAAAGTGAGAAAAACTGCAACTGGTTGGCGGTGAGGAGAGGGAGACAAGACAAAGACACTGTGTAAGAGAAGCAAGTATTAATAATAACTAATAATTAAATTAGTTTCATTAGTTAGTTAGTTTCAGTTTTATTTGTCATATGCAAGTTAGCACAGGGTCAACATTGCAATGAAATGTGTTTGACGAGCAGCAGTCACTCAGCAGCATGGCACAGTAGAGAAAATATAATAAAATAAAATAAAATAATAAAAAATATAAAAATAGTAAGGAGCTAAATATTAGAGAGACATGGTAAAAGAGAAAAGATGACTAAATATATCTATAATAATAATAATAATAATGTATCTATAAATATAAATATATGTACACTAGTGATTAAATAAGAAAATCTTGAAAAGAAATATGATGGGAGGGTAGATGGGATATTGCACAGGAATGAGCAGCAGAAAATTACAGTATTGCACTTTTAAATATAAATATCAATGACAATAAAGTGAAGTGACCAGTGCAGATTAAACAGAGTACTTGTGAAGCTGCAGGGTAGCTTCTGAGTGCTGTGTTGTGTGTGTTTAAGTGTTGTGGTTGAGGTGTCGTATGGCTTGGTGGTAAAAACTGTTTTTGAGTCTTGTAGTCCGAGCAGACAGACTCCTGTAACGTCTGCCAGACGGAGGAGAACAGCTGATGTGCTGGGTGGCTGTGGTCCTTGATGATGCTCTGTGCTTTACAGAGGCATTGCTGGAGATAAATGTCCTGAATGGCAGGAAGCCTCGTGCCAGTGATGTGCTCTGCTGCCTTCACCACCCTCTGTAGTGATTTACGGCTGCTGGCAGAGCAGCTTCCGTACCAAACTGTAATGCAGCTCGTCAGCAAGCTCTCAATTGCACACCTGTAAAAATTTGAGGTGATGTTGGCGTTCATGTTGACCCTTTCGATGCAAATGCAGAGTTGTGTGTAAGAACAGAGTGAAACATTTGACTGCAGAAGAAACACTCAGTGCATCATGGAAATCCCCCAGCAGCCTTTTGCAGCATAACTAAGGGAGGATTCAGGGACAGCTGATCCAGCCCTAACTATGTGCTTTATCACAAATGAAAGTTTTAAAACTAGTCTTAAAAGTAGAGATAGTGTCTGTCTCCTGGATCCGAGCTTGAAGCTGATCCAGCAAACAACATAACTAATGAGAATAAAGTGAAGGTGGAATATGTGTGTGTTCACATGCACACTTTGAGTTGTGTTTCCTTTTTAAGCTGTACTAAGCAAATTTATCAGTAACTGATCACTTGACCCCACAGCAGGATGAAGATGTTTCCTGACACAGAGGCATCTGCACAGGCTCAGTCTGACTTGCAGTTGTAATAAGTCATAAAACTCTCATCAGTGCCTCATCAGGCAGCGAAAACATTTTTACCAAACTAAACTACAACCTGAAACCCACAAAAGTTGGGCCCTTCTTTAAATTTGAACAAAATGAAAACTAAAAGACATTCAAATTACATGAACCAACATTTATCAGAACACAAATAACATACATTTAAAGTGAGATATTTTACATCATCCACTGAATGAGCTCATTTCAAATCGCCTGCTACAGGTCTCAGAATAGTTGGGACAGGGGTCTGTTTACCAGGGTGTAGCATCCACCCTTCTTTTCATATCAGTTTGAAGGTGTCTGAGCATCAAAGTTATGACTTTCTGGAGTTTTGGTGTTGCTTTGATAAAGGTTTCTAGCAGCTGAATAGTTTGAGGTTGTCTTTGATGAAGATAGATGAGTTTAAATGACTGCATCTTTGTGGGAGGGTTTATTGGCACCTGTAGAATTAATAAATATGATCCTTTATGAGCCTGATGTGCATTTTGTAAGCAGAGTCTGGCTCTTTAACTGGATCAGACCATCACATCTTTGAAATGCTCACAGTGTGGTTTATGCTGTGAAGCATAACTTTGCTCCCTTCCCCCCTTCATGAAGCTTCTTCTTCATGAAACACAGTGAAGAAGGACTTAGATAATGGAAACAGCTGCTCGTTCTACTCGTCTCGGACAAAGTTATGCTGTTGTAGCTGCAATATGTGGTTTTGTGTTGTCCTGCTCAAATACAAACAAGGCCTTCCCTGAAATAGACATCACTTGGAGGGGAGCATATGTTGCTCTAAAACCTTTATAAACGTTCAGTATTCATAGTTCCTTCCCAAACATACAAGCTGCCCATACCGTATGCACTTACGCACCTCCATACCATCAAAGATGCTGGCTTTTGAACTGAACTCTAGGTCTCCCTCCTCTTTAGCTCGGAGAATGTGGCATATGTGATTACCAAGAGGAATGTCAAACTTGGATTTGTCTGAACACAGAAGTCTTTCCCACTTTGAAACAGTCCACTTCAAATGAGTCTTTTGAGGGTCTCTGCCTGTCTAAAAGAACATTTGAGACTTACAGTAGGCATCAAATTTGAAATTATTGGATTGTAAAATGTCTCAGTTTTAACATTTGTTATTTATGTTCTGTTGTGAAAAATTTTTGGCTCATGGGATTTGAAATTTTTAATTTTCAAAATTAGAGATTCTTTTTTTTAAATTTAGGGTAATAAAATTAACTTCATCTGTATATCTATTGTAGTTAATAATACTTTTTGAAGTTAAAAACAGAAAGAAAACAGATCACTTTTATTCCCCCCCCCAATAATTTAATTTATTTTTTAACCAAAATGTTTTGGTTTTTTTTCCCCACATCTAGTTTTAGTCAAACGAAATAACTGGATTCACTGGTTAAAAGGTCTTGTAGTTCACAAAGTCTCTTAAATCACCTTCATTAAAATCTACACCTCCCTCACATTTCCCTGCACTTCCTGGATGTGCCATCTTTCTATTCAACTGCAGTATGAACATTCTGGTTCTCTCTCCCTCGTGTATTCTCTGGTGTGATAGAATAACACCAATAACCAGCAGCCAAAGGGTTAACCACTGATAATCTGAGTTATTGATACCAGAGAGACCAGACACAGACCAAACATGCAACAAACAGCTTTTATTAACAGTTCTGCAAACCAACCATGGCTCCAGTCACACTGATCACAGTCAGTACAGGATCACACAAAGTACTGAAGAGGAGGAAAAAAAACAAAACAAAACAAAACAAAAAAAAAAAACCCCACACCACACACATTTCACCAAGTAAAGTTTAAACAACAATCTGATTTCCAAACTGCTGCTTTCAGTGCACAGCAACAATAAAACATTAAACTGTACATAAATGCTAATCTAAGAATTTTGATTCCATTTCTTACTGACATGAACATACAAATGACCTGATAATAAACACATAGCATCATTATTGTTTTTTAGATGCAGTGAACACATAATTTAGCCTGAAGTGCCCCAGTCTATAGAAAGCAGGTATACTTTCAGTGTTCTGTTAATATGACAGCTGAATTTACAGGATACAGAATGTTGTCTTTACCTGGTCCAAACCAGCCAAAATGTTGGTGTGTTCGTACAGAGTTGTGTGGTCTGGTGTTTCAAGTCTAAATCATTTTTATTACATTTAACAGTTACATATTGTCCTTTCATTATCACAGGTTTTTATAACCCGCAATCATGTCTTAGGTGACATTAAGTCACTAAATCAGATTTAGCTGTTGTCCACATGATTGGTACAAACAGTACAATGTTTTTTTTTGAATTGCTCTTAGTCTGGCTCATCACCTGGGACCTGTTTGTCATGGGAGACCCTACCAGGAGCTGAACGCTCCAGACAACTCAGCTCCCAGGATCGTCTGAGCTCACAAACCCCTCCACCACGATAAGGTGGCAATTCAAAGAGGGGGATGAAAAGGGAAAGGGAAGAGGAAGGGAAATTATATTACTGCCGATGTTACATGAGCCTCTGCTCGTCTACAGAAACAATGTCGTATCCGTTCGTGACAAGATGGAACAAGAAATATGTTTTGTCTTTTTTCCGGATTTTTATGCATGACAAAGGCCACAAAAATCACCACAGCTGACAGACCAACGATGACTCCAATGATCAGTCCCACAAGTCGATTCTCTACTGGCGGACCTGTAGGTGAGAAACAGGTGTGAGGTGTCAGCTGTCAGGCAGGTGATGAGTGAAGAACAGAACAGAATCCATTTCCTCTTCAAACTGCTGCCAGACATTATCTACTGCACTCTGATCACATCACTCAGACCAGCTGCTTTCTACAAAGTCTCATCAACAACATCTTTAGAAACAAACATCAACAACCAGGAAGCAGCTTCACCTCTGATCACACACACACACTCAACTCTACTCACTCACCTGGAGGATCAACAACTCTCAGGGTGATGATGCTGATGGATTTCCACAAGCGTGTTTCTTCCATGAAGACACGACACTCGTACGTTCCAGTGTCATCAGTCGTCATGTCCTTCAGAATCAAAGACACTTCTCCATCCTTCATTTTTCTCTCCTGCAGATCAACTCGATTCATAAAAGATAAATGCTGGCTGTGTGGGTCAAAGTGCCCGTCGCGGTTTAAAAGTACATATTCTGGCTTTAAGTCAAATCTGCTCCACTCTACAGCTATGAAGGATGTGTTTGAAGCTCGACATGGCAGAGTGATGTTCTGTCCAGATTTAATTGTGATGTTTTTGTGGTCTGAAAGAATGAAAACACAAAGCAGAGGTTAGAAAGGTTTTAGCATAGAAAGGCTTCCTAGCTCCGCTGAACCACAGGAGGCAGAGTTGACACCGACAGTGACGTTTGGCACACAATTTGTTATCAGAGAGAGACGTGACACTCAAAGAGGTATCAGCTGAAAACACTGCGAGAATTCAGTAAGAGTAAAAATGGCAATTTTCCTAGTAACAAAAAAGTAGCCAATCAAATGGAGGACGGAAACATACAAGCGAAAGATGTTGCTGCTCTGAGGCACAGTGGTGGTTCAGGACAGTTTCAACTGATGTAGGCAAGTGCTCTTGTTTTTCTTTGCTTATTCTTGGTTGGAGCATATTTCGGCATCTTTTTTTTAAAATTAAAGTTGTCTCACTCAACATTCACTTAGATTGAAGCTTTATATATAAACTTGCAAAATAAATAACAGGAAGTTTCTTTTTAATGGCATTTGGAGCGAGAATAAATATATAATATACGCATACAGGCAACAATGTTCCCTCTAATTTTTCATGTGTCTGAGCGAACACACAAACTCCCTGAGCAATCTCATGGACCACTGTGAGCGACAGCAGACGTGTGCACTGTGGTCACGCCAGCGTCGAATCCATCCAAGTTACATGGTTTATTAAAATAATCAAATTACAGCATTTACATTTATGTTAGACTACTTTTAATTAACTGCTTTAGCCGCTGTCACTCCTAAAACTTCCTTTCTTAGCAACTAAATTCCATGTTTTGATTGGTCAACATGGTACATTTTTCGACCAATGGAAAAGGGTGGGGTGTTTTGGTTTCGTCTTTGCTCACAGGTGGAGAGTGCTTTCAAGCGTTTTCCTTATAAAACACAGTTTTTACCATTTCTTCCTGCAGTAAATATAAACAACGATAATATTCAGGAAGAAAACCAAACATTGCAGATATTTTATCCTATCCTAATCCTATCAAAACTTGTTTTACTTGGCCTATCAACACAATTTAAAAACTGGTATAAAGTCCAGTTTTTCCGTTACTTCTTCCGTCTGTCCTGCTCACATCTCCAAAGGTTGTACACGTTGTCATTAATGTGGCTTCACTCCACATCAGCCACGCCGCTTTGCTAGCTAAAACACCGGTGTCGGCACATATTTACTTTAATTTCAATTCAGGTTAGAATTTTTTTGTGTGCGCAATGCAGATTTTCTCTGCGCAGAGACCGTGCCAACAGTGCGTAATTGCGCGCCTGCGCAGCATAGAGGGAACATTGACAGGCAATTTCACATGGCTCTCACTTTGAAATCCAAAACCAGACTGACATTAATCCAGGAGCACTGTGATGATGTGTACTGTTGATTTGAAGTGAAATTAGTCTGTATAAACAGGACATTCTGAATTCAAAGAGTGGCATTCCAAGGGCTCTTATTTTGAAATCTAAAAATCAGACTGACTTGATATTGATAATAGTTCTGTGAAAATGTGTACTGTCTACTTAAGGTGAAATTAGTTTGTGGAAACGGGAAGTTCACGGAAACAGGAAGTTCACTTTTAATATAATTTTTAAATGAGACGGGGAAAAAAATAAGGCGAGACTAAAGGGCTTTTATTCTGAAATATGGTGTGGGTTTCTCTTTCCGTAATATCTAGTATACAAACACAAAAAAGCTTCTCGAAGCTGAGGCTGGCTTAACGGCAGCTCACGCAGTTTCGTGTCACCAACGATAATTCACACATCTCTGCTCGCCTTCTGGTTACTGAGAACTAAAAATAGTTACAAAAATAGTGACTAAATAGTGAATAGAGACTCTGCAAATCCAAGAACCAGTAGGCCGTTGTTGTGCCAAAAAGTGATTGCCTGCCAAAAACTGATTTCCAATGTTTGCGTGTATTTTTTATGTTGGTAAATACTTTGGTGAACAGCGTTTACAAAGGGGCTATATATGGAATTAAAAAATTATCTGATTTTTCAAGTATCTTTACAACTCTGTGTTATCCCAGATAGCAAGGAAACATTGAACAGATGTTGATTTTCCATCTGAACCATCAGAATCGTCAGGGTTGAAATGTCAACACAAATCCAATGTTGAAACAACACTGAAATACTGATGAA